TACTGTTACATCCCCGGCCAACGCCGGGCGCTACTGCTAGTTATGAATAATACGCCCCTCATGTAGTCCGTATTCTTCGCCATGGTACTCAAGCCTGACGCAGGCACTTGGAGACCTTGTGGAGATTTTAGAAGCCTCGACGCAAACCTGTTCCTGATAAATATCCAGTACCTCACCTACACGACTTTGCCATAGGGTTGCAAGGAACCAAAATCTTCACGAAGTTGGATTTAGTAAAAGCTTACTACCAAGTAGCAGAAGAGGATATTTAAAAAAAAAAACTGCAATTACTACTCATTTCGGACTATACGAATTTAGTAGGATGCCATTTGGATTACGTAATGCCGCCCAAACCTTTCAAATACTCATAGACGAAATCTTAAGAGGACTGCCTTTCGCTTTTGCTTATATTGACGATGTTCTCATCGCCAGTCGAAATAATACAGAACATCAACAACACGTAGAACAAGTTTTCCAGAGGCGGGAACATTTCGGCTTAAAAATCAACACTGAAAAATGCACGTTTGCCTTTTCAAAACTAAATTTCCTAGGACATGTTAAAAAGGAATATGAGATTACACCTGTCCCAGAGAAAGTATCAGCGATTAAGGATTTTCCACAACCAACATCACTACAACTTCGGCAATTTCTCGGCCTACGATGCAGATTCGACACTCACCTTAACAACTGATACTTCTGGCGATTCTATTAGAACAGTACTTCATCAGAACCAACATAACTCTAAGATGCCGATATCACTTTTTTCTGTGAAACTTAATACTGCACAGAGAAAATACAGTACCTTCTCGAGAGAATTACTAGCGATTTACCTATCTATACGACATTTTCAACATTTTACTTGAAGGGCGAACTTTCACAGTTTTCACCGACTATAAACAACTCGCTTATGCTTTACATGCAAACACAGACAAGTACGCAGCCAGAGATACCTGATAACTGGATTACAATCCCAATTTACCTCGGATATCCGAGATATTAAAGGATCGAACAATATCGTGGCTGACACACCCTGCCGTTCCACGATACACTCTATCGAATCTGAACCACTCAATTTTGATCTAATAGCCAAAGAACAACAGAAAGATACCACACTAGACACGATGAAACAAAATACTTCTTTACAGTTAAAAGAAAACCCTGTACTATTCGGCTAAAGACTTTATTATGTGACGTAAGCACTGATTATTCAAAACTTTATGTACCACCCTCAATGCATGCGTGGGAGGGTATTCGAACATTTTCACATCCAGGACGCAGAGCTACAGCCAAATTAATTAGAGACCGTTTCGCCCGGCCAAACATGTGTGCTGACATTAAACGTTCGACTCAGACCTGTTTAAATTGCAAGAAGAGCAAAGTGAACAGACACAAAAAGTCCCCTGTTGGGCAGTTTGCCAAACCGGGCGGCAGGTTTACCAATTTACACGTCGATTTAGTGGGTCCCCTAACGGAAGTAGAAGGATATCACTACATGCTCACCATAATTGATCGATTCACGCATTGGCCTGTCGTTGTCCCTTTAAAAGACATATCAGCGGAAACAGTCTCGAAAAGTATCCTACAGGAATGAATATCTATTTTCGGTTGCCCTTGGGTGATAACTGCAGATAGAAGATCACAGTTTCAATCCACACTTTTCACCGAATTTACCAATTTATTGGGAGTCAAACACTTATCAACCACAGCGTATCATCCTTGTGCGAACGGCCTGGTTGAGCGTTTCCACAGACAGTTAAAAACAGCATTAACATCCAATAATGATTCTGGAACATGGTTGGACAATTTACCGCTTGTGCTATTATCAATAAGAAACGTAATTAAGGAAGATTTTGGTTGCACACCTTCAGAAATGGTTTTCGGAACAACTGTAACTTCCAGATCAATTTTGAGACAGAAACAACTATTTAAGACTGACTACGCATTTTGTCCAATCTTTTAAACGGCGGATAAGCGACTTAGTGTTCATACCCTCTAGAACTCAATCTTAAGACATTTATACTCCCAAAGATTTGTACTCGATTTACATGGGCCCTTATCAGATCATAGACAAAAAAACCTAAGTACTTTACAGTAGTCATACAAACACTGGTCAACACCAAATTTATTGTCTAAATATTTTTAGCTGAGTTAGGACAATTTTGATGTACTGAATCCAAAAATCACATTGGTTTTGCTGAATCAGGTCAACTTTTTGAGCTAAGGCTACAGGCTGTGTTTTACATTTTTGTTTCTGTTGTCATGTCCATTAAAATATCTAAATATGCAACATATTTTTCACAATGAAACTAATTATTATGTTAATTATAAACTTATTAATTTTGATCCATCAGAAGTATTTTCAGGCAAATATAGCTTCATAATTATTAAAAACACGCCTCCAAAATATTTATAAACCCAAAACATACAAGAAAGTGTTTACATCTTAAAACACATCAATTATACTGTACAATACAAAACCATAGAATATAAATCAGAAAGGTTGTTTTATTCGTCATTATAATTTAGGTCTACCGCCAAAATATTGCGTGGATGTGGTAGTAAGCATACCAAATCACATTTTAGGGCCAATTAGAAATAACTAAAGTTATATAATTCAGGAACCAATTTTTCAGGAATAACAGTATAAAAATCATAATGTTTGACCTCAACGACTCAGATTCCACTAAGGGTCATGTCACTCTAACTGCACTATCAAGAAACGAATCAGCATCTTGGTGACCAAGATCAAGGTTGGGTGCCACACATGGTACGTCAGACATGTACCGATTATCTGCATTGGTGGACCAAGTGCAAAAAGAGTTGTCTAAAATTTGGAATTCCCATGGTTTGGAGGGAGCCAACAAACTATAGCACTGACTGTTACTTCTGTGCTATTGACCCCCACATTTATTTGTTAATAATTTAGAATTGTGATGATTGTATTGAATTATGATTTTATTGAAACAAAAATTTCAATGGTTAATAGCTTAAGAATTAAATTAAATCACCAGATAAATAAATTAAAAATAAATAAATAAAATTTTATGTATATAAAAGCAACAATGAAAAACTAAAATATTTCTCGTTATCTTTTTTCTTTGTTACCTCATCTATTTACTTTACATCTCAATGTCTACAGAATTTAATAATTAAAACAGATAGTCACTAATGTGTAAAGTTTTCAGAGGCATATGAAGACATATCCATTTGAAGAGTAAGCGTTCTCAAAGCAAATTTGTGGCTTTCACAACACAAAGAAAGAAAATCACTTGTAACGCGCCAGGAAAATAACTCACGAAAGCCGTAGCCAAAAATGCCCGAATTTTCCTTCCCCAAGTCGAAAACACCAACTGCTTTTATCGGCAGAACCTATTTTTTCCATTCGTCGACAGCCGGGATAGGATGCTCCGTAATTTGCATATTAATATACTCTTATAGCGACTGACTTGTTTCTTTTTCGTCACAGAATACACGCGACGCGCTGTCGCTTGGGTTGACGAGGTAAGTCGCTATAAGAGTTTTGCTGACTACTTTTTGGCAACCCCTCCCCGGCAGATCGCACACAAAACACGAACTTTTTTCCGGGGTACTTGATTATCTCGTTCACTACACCATTTCTATGTATATTTCAAATAAACGCAAAATAATCAAACACCTTTATATAGAAAAACTTTATTGTAAAAAAACAAAACTATTAATATATTATAGTTCTAAATTTTACCACTATTATTGTAAGTTTATTTACTATCTTAATTATAACTATGATTAAATGCCAACGTTGCTATATTTCCAGTGCAAAATCAAGTTTTGTAAAATTGAGCATATTCACCTTGCACCAAACTTTCGAGGTAAGTATGCCCACTGTGAAAATTAGCATTCAGAACATGAAGTTTCGAGCCTTGATCTCATTACCATTCTTGCTACCAGGATTTCCCCACTGTTATGTCATTTTCTATACTAGAGAAAGAAAGATAAAAAAAATATCTACACGGCAAACAGAAATTAGTAATTTGTTGATCAAGACTTTCTTCTCTACAATTATTAGAACATTCTTCTTGTGAAATTAGTAATAGCCAGCTTTAGGTATGACTAATAACACCAGCAAACTACAGAGTCATAAGTTTCAACATCTATCTTACAAACACTAAAGAAAAAGAAAAAAAAAAAAAAAAAACAACAAAAAACACACCTGATCAGTGATGTAGGTAGTGAAATCGATTCTTATGAACTACTCCAAAATTGGTCAAAACTCAAAAGAAGGGTAAATTTAAAATAAATTATTTTTAATTTTAATATCTACACGACATAATGTAAAGATCTGCAGCAGTTGATAACAATACATTTTTTTTACAGAAGTTTGTGTGTAATGCATTTAGATTAAAATTAAAAATAAAGAAAACAAAAGACATCTCAATTCGTACGACAGAAAGATTTTTTTCCTGGGCACTATTATTACTACTCAATCATAACGCTTCCATTAATAAAAACAAGTAAATCCGTAGGTGAATTACCAATTTACAAAATCAGTGTTTAAATTTTTTTAAATTTAATAACTAATGTGTTGCAGAGATTCACCTTTCTGTGCCCAGTAACAAAGGAAAAAAAAAAGAGAGAAGTACTCAAGAACAGAATCGAAACGTAAAATTTTGTTTACGCAAAATAGCAGTTGGAAACCAAAATCCGAAACAAGCTAAAAGTAAAAACTAATATTTTGATGAGATGGTCTATCACACGCTAGCTATTTCAACACACACCCGGTTCGTTACACTATGTAGAATTGTAGACTTGTTTAGTTTATGGCTTTCTCTTCTTCTGTTCCATTTTGATGCCCTGCCTCAAGTTATGCATTTAAAAATCCAACTGTCCATCCTAGTTTTTATTAAATAGCGGAGAAAGTGCCGATAATTAATGTAGAAGATAGCGATGAAGAAATGCACACTGGATGGGTGGACTATTTTTAGATGGGGAAGTCAGTTACTGTCGTTAACATCTATGTATGAATGCGCATTTATTCAGCTGATTTTGTGTTGATCAGTAGCAGGTACTTCTCTCTAGGTGGACAATTGGTGTTATGAAGAACTCACAGGATAAAATCACAACACTTATAAAAACCACGTCTTTAGCAAGGAGAAATTTAGGAGCAACTGAAGACCTCCGTTGTTCACTAGATATTTAAAACCAGACTTTAAATTATTTAACAAGACTCACTCAGTGAAAGCGTCTAGGAATGTCCTCAACACTGACAAGCCGTTTTGTAACGTGTTGTGTACTGTCCACTAACAACACAAGAACATTACTAAAAAAACAATGGACTTTTAGTTCCCATTTTAACGTTTCAGGAATCGTGCAATATGCCCGTTCTATACATTTTATCCAGCCACAAGCTCAAAAATTAGGTTTGATAGGAGTCCCTTTCCGAAAAGGACAGGTAAGAGGATTTTTAATTTTCTTTTTTACGATGAAAATGATTTCCTACGAATATATATTCTGCTGTCATTCATTTGATTGAAAAAATTTTAAGAAAAGGAAGATGGAGAGAAAGTTTACCATATTTTTTAAACCTGTTTCTTTGACGCAGAAATAAATTTAAAAAAAATTAAATATTAAAATAAATGTTAATTTTAAATTTAATAATTAGGTGGGCAAGAAATTTAAAATTAAATTGTGGATTATGGATTTTTTTTTTTTTATTAATCTTTAATTGCCTTTTACTTTTGTTTACGTTCTGCTAGAAAACTTAATTCGATGTTTGATAGTTTTTATTTTATTTTATTTTTTTTTTAATTAAATTGTCTGGAATGTTTACTCACGTTACTTTTTACTGCACTTTTTCAAAACTAGAAAAACTTTCTCTACAACTCCCAGTTTTAATACAGGACTCTTGGAAAAATACTCCGCAATCAGGAACTAAAATATTCATAAAGAGAAAATCAAGAGACCACTGGATGCTAGGAACTTTTTTTTTTTTTTTTTTTTTGACATCACTTGAAATGAAGACAAAAATATTTATCAAAAACTAAAAATAAGACATTCACTGAAGTTTTCGATTATGCAATCAATCACTGAGCCGTAAATTCTGCTCGTATTTCTCAAGCGCGGTTATTATCTTTTCAAACTTGGTTCATATCTAATTATGCTCTTAAAAATGTTATAGGAGACCATATGATGACTACTTGAAAGTGCACAATACATATTGCATTTATTTCGCCCTAGAAATTGTAATAAAATTTTAAAAAAAACTAAGTCTACGCTTTAACTCCTGCTTGTTGTTAAGCTCGATTTTAAAGTGTTTGTAAGATAAAATCTATTTTTATGCTTATGCCAATGAGTTACAAATAAAATAAATCTCTAACTTTACTGACTGTAAGTAAGAAAAACATCTTATTGATACTTTTTTCTTTTTAAATGAACATTTTTTTCACTTTATTTCACGATTTTAACCTAGCATTTTAATTATTTTCAAGCAGAGGAAACGAAAGATTTCACAAAGTAGAATTGAATGCAGTGTTGTGCGCTAGGATTCTGATACAATGAAAAAAAAAAATCAGAATTTACTTATTAAGACGGAAATTTAAGCCATAAGGTGATTAACCTGATAAATGCATTCAATTCTAAAGAATTTAGCCAATGACATTTAGAAGTCCATACGCTTACTAACCAATCAAACAAATTTATTTCAAGCGCCAAAATTTTTATACAATTCAATTTAACAATTTTGTAATTTTATTCCACACAGCGATTATTCGTTTAATTCCAGATTGTGGGTCTGTCTTCTGTACTATACTAACTTAAGTTCAACTGTCGAATCCTACAGAATTTGCTGTTTACTGAATGATTCATGACTACGAACGGCACACCAAAAAAAGACTCCACTTTTTCGCGGAAAAAAGTATAGCATGATGAAAAAAAAACCCAAACTCAATAAAAACGTTTTATCGTCAAAATGTTTATTATTAAGAGAAAAGATCAAAGTATTTTTGATTATTTTTTTTTAAAAAATTTTTTAATCCTTTCTAGCACATTCGAAATTTTGATTAAAATCTTGTTTTGTTAGCGATTGGAATTGCGAATAGTTTTTTTGCGCTTTTTTCCGGTGAAAAACATTGATTTGGAAATTCTTGCAAAAATCAAATAATTGTCGAATTTTAATGAAACATTCAGGACATATTCAAATATAAATGAAATTATTTTTAAAATTTTTTTTAATAAAATTTTGGTATTTTTTTTTTTTTTTTTTACATTACCAACCACTTAATTTCACGAAATTTTGAAAAACTAAATTTTTAGGGCGGGGATTTTTTTATTAGTTTAAAAGCAGGACCCCTTGGAGAATGTAAATCATCATTTTTTATTTTATTTATTTTATTTTTTATTTTTTATTTTTTTTTTTTTTTTTGTAAAACAATTAATCCATTCATCGAAAGTCTGTTCTGAATTGTAAAATAATAAATGCAATAAGATTATGACATTATTTAATTAGAAAAGCTTTTAATTGCTTATATATATAAGATTTATTAAGGACACTATATTGTCTTAAGAAGAATTTTTTTTTTTTGATGAATAATTAATTTTTACAAGATTTGTTTCATTTTTAAAAAATTTTAATTAAATAATTTAAATCATTTAAAATTTTGCATTACTGCAAGGCGGTTAGGTAATATTGCTGTGAAGTAAATAAAATCTATATTTATGAATCGGATATTGAAAAGCACATTAAAAGTCGTTTTTATTTTAACCCAATATTTTCAAAAGAATTTTTATTTTTTTTATGTATACGTAACGTGCCCCTGTTTGAAACTATGGTTGACCATACACGACATAATCATAAAGTAAGAATAAATTTAAATTCAACGTTTCTAAAATTAGATTACGGAGAACATTTTTCATCATTTTTTAGATTACTGAGTACTTACAATTATATAGAAAAGCGTTCACCGGTCATTTTCTTAAATTATGTTTTAACAGCTAAAAGTGTCCACACCTCGTCAAATGATTTACGAGGTGTTGACAAGCGATCAATCGCGCTACTGTTTGTTTTAAAAACATATTTCTCTGTTATTTTAAACTTAAAGTAAATAATATTTTTTTCAAATCAGATTTAATTACTTTAACTCAGCTAATATTTTTCAAATAAAGTTTCAAAAATATATTTTATTTTTGGAAGATTTTTAAAACCGAGAATTAAATTAAAATTAAATTTTGTTTATAAATCTGTAAAAAAAAAAAAATGGCTGGATTTAAACGATTTCTGTAAGCGAGCAAAAAGTTGAGATTCTTAATTTCTATTTGAAATACACCAGAGTATTTTGCTTACTGGAAATTTCAATCAAAGCTAAAAAGAAAGCTTCAAGAATGCATTTTCATTTTAAAAAAAAATCATTTTAAACCTTAGGTATCGAAAATAAAATCTTAGCCAAAAAGTGGAGGAACCTGACCTGCTGAGTCTGTCCAAGAAGAAGCATAATGAGATTTTTACCCCTTCCCACGTGTTTTTTTTTTTTTTTTTTTTTTTATTATTTTATTATCTTTGTTTTCACAATAATGCTGTCTCCTTTCTTTAAGCGACAATTCCTACACGATTTCTGAATTATGCTTCTAGACTGGCTGCCAGCTCAAGCTAGGGAGTAGCTATATGAGGTCTAGAGACAGATTCATGCATTTTTTCCAAGGGCTTTTGTGTGAGAGTGAATGCAACAGACTAATCTGGAATTTGAACTATTTTTCTAATCATTCCGCACCAATAACTTAGAACAGTGTCTATGCTACCAGCACATCCAACCTACATTAATTATAAACATTTTTGGAGCCCTTTGTGAATTGTGATTAACGTTTAATTTTGTCAAACATTTTGGCATTTAACAATTGTCCCATGGGTAAAGAAAGAAAGATGTCGATTACTTTTTATGTTATTATTTTTTTTTTTTTTTTTTTTTTTTTATTTTCGACCGTCGTTTAGTTTTCTGTGTATTTATTATTTTCTAAGGAAAGAATTCCCTTGTTTCTAACCGTTAAAACTAACCCCCCCCTTTTTTAAAAAGTAAACTTACTTTCTTAGGTCCCCCTATGCCCAGCATTAGTCTGTTGCCGAGAGGATTTGATTAGTTTTTTTTTTATTTTGTTTTTTTGTGACTTTGTCCCTTCACGTACACTTTTTGCGTTACATTCCACTTGAATGGTAGCGCGGTTAAATCGCTCTTTCTTTTTACACTCACCTTTTTGTCTAGTAGTGACATTTCTTCCCCGATGAAGCTTTCTTCTCTGCTAACGTAGTTCGTCTAAGTTTCTCTTTCTTGTCATTTTATGGGTTTTTAATTTTTAATTGTAACAAAATTGTATGATAACATCACGGTGTTTAACTTAAGTGTCCAAGCGTTTTTACACGCCACTGATGAAACATTTACGTTAAGCAGGGCTAACAACAGCCTTTTAAAACTTGTAAGTTGTAACTATGAAAAGTGATTATCTGAAAAACAAATATTTTCTTTTCATTTAGTTTACGAAAACTCTTATCGATTTTGCAAGAGTTTTTAAATAAACACAGACGAGCGAAGTCGAACACAACAATGCCAAACACGTGACACTCAACCGCACACGAAATCTGCTGGCATGCTACTATCTCCTGTTTGGCTGCATTTTCACATGTTACTTTAAAAAAGAACATGTTTGTATTGGTTTACTTTTCTTATTCTCTTTCTTATAATTTTTTGTTTTTTGTTGTTGTTAATTCAGATGTAGGCAACTTGTGGAGTTCTAGAACACTAACAGTCATGGCGCGCCTTTTCATAAAAGAAATAAAAATAAAAAAAAAATAAAGCTGTTATGTAACACTTGCACGCATTTCAGTTGTTTTTAGGTCAGCGACCTTCTTGACCTGGGATTCGGGCACCTGGGAAGTCTGAGCTTATTGAGTTAAGCAAACTTTTAAAAAGCCTGGAGCCAAGTGGGTTTATTGCTCGAAGGTGCATTGTACTAGTAAAATTGTCCAGCAGAGTTCAAATTCCAGTTTAGCGTTCTTTGTTGTCCACAAATGCCCTTTGGACAGGCATGAAACCGTCTATTCTCACTCATTTTCTTTATCCTTGGCCAGCAATCACCCTAAGAGAAGAAACATTGAATGATTCCCAAATCACGGAGAAGGCAATCACTCTGCTATCTTTTTCAAGAATGCATTCGTAATTTGCGGATAATAGTAAAGAAACAGAATCTATAGCGAAACACGATCAAACACAATGTAACTTGAAATTTCAAAATAATACTTAAAAAATAGAATATTAAAATTTAAAACTTACCTTCTTGCAGCTTGCTGCTGCCACAGAAAAGTTTATTTATGGAAAAAATAATGTATTGTACACTTTTTAGCTGCAAAGGAATCGCTCATTATTCCTGTTTATCTTTTTTAGTGCCGACACTTGTTTCACACGAAACATG